TTCTCTTCCCAATGGAAAGGGATCGGCCATAGTCAACACGGTTGACCAAATGGTAAAGAAAAAGGTTAAGTCTGTGATAGTCCCATGTACCGTTTCCAAAGAGTCTATAAGATTCTGTTTCCAAAGGAAAGTCATTGGTTGCGAAGCTTCTAAATTTACCTGAAACACCTTAAGGATGGTAAAGTCAATAGGTATGACTCTACTTCAGGTAAAGTCCATTGTCTAACTCTATTAAGTTTCTATTATGAGATTCTTATTGCATAATGTGACGAGGTCATATGTTGATGTTTTAAGAATCAAAGAAAAGGTGAAGAAACTTAAAGGAAGTATATGTTGATTCTGATCGCGAAGATGGATTTCGATCGCATGGTTCGGTGATCAGAATTTTGAGCTGTTACTTAAGAGTTATGATATATTGCTTAGGAATAGATAACAACAAGTTTTCCATATGGATTGTAAGGATAAATTTTTCCGCAATGTTTTAAAATAAAAGAAAAATGGTTTTGATTTTATTTATTTTAAGTATTCTTACGATGACATTTGTGAAAAATTGTTGGTTATATGTTTCCATTGATAAGCAATATGGATAAATGGATTTGATTCTTTCATTAGTGGAAGTGTCATAATTTACCAAATAAGGAAAGATTCTCATCGCCCAAGTTTCGGTTGGATAGAAACTTGGAATCATGCAACTTGTATTGTATGATCATGAGAATTTTTTTTATATATTTGGGAAATTAAGTCTAATTCCTTGTTCACATGTATATGTGAATCAAGTGAAGGACAAAGGGATCGGATACACTTGGGTGTGCGCTGATCAGGTCCACCACAAAGTTGATAAGATTATTCATTATGATTTACTAAAGTTTAGTAAATATGGTTATACTTACAAGTTGAAGTATAGGTCTGGATCATTGGAGAAGTTTCAATGATAGACATAATGAGTAAGAAGAATCATATAAGGCAGAAAGATAAAAGTTTCTCTAATATGAAGAGATGGGAGAGTACTTGAGTATCTTGTTTTATAATTATCTTAGTGATTATGAAACCATGTCACAATTGATCCTCTAAGGACACCTTAGTTCATTTTGTTTGGCTAAGGAGAGGAATCGTGAATTGTTGAAATGGTTAGATCAAAAGCTAAGTTATACATCGTTCCAAAATTAAATCTTAGAGTTATACTCCAAGATTAAGCCTTGAGTGACATAATCTTAAGAAAGGTTTAAAACACTTGTTAAATGTAGAGTAAAATGTGTCTTACTCTTGTACATTTGAAATTGGTAAGTTGTGATGTTTTGGATAAAACAAAGACCAACTAAGACCAATTGTGAGAAGTGTTTAACTTGATAAGAATCTGCACTAACTCTTGAATATTCGTTTTTGTCAAGGAATGGTTCTTGACAAAGAGAATCTTATATGTCAAGAGGTCAGTAGGAGTCTTAAAAGGATCTTAAGATAGATTCAAGAACTAATCAAGTGTTTTGTTAATCACTAGACCACGACTTGAGGTTTGTAACCTATCATGTTGACATATTCTGTGCCCATTCTAGTTAAAGTTGGTTTTTCATTGGAGTTCTGAGAGTTCTCAACTGGTTGCATAACAACTTGGAAACAATGTCGGGCCCTTGTGTTGCCAGGTGGCAAGAAATTAAGACTGCACAAGTTCAGTCCATATGAATTTAGATTTGTCCTTAACCTTGTCGTGTGATTATGGTTATGTCAAATTCACATGGATAGGAACACATACACCATCAAAATCTAAGTTTCATAAGGTTTCTCTCCGATTCATGAAAATGATAGTGAGGAAACTCTTTCACTAAGTAGATTTAAGTGGATAGCAAGTGTGAAGTTTGCATTCTCATGTTGTTAGTGGAGCGTGTGTGGTTAACTGGCACACTAACTAATGAGAATGGAAAAGGTTTAGACTCACATATGAGCTATCTAAGGAAAGGGTTACACTCCAGGTGTATGATTTGATAAAGTCTTATCAAGGCAATCTAGTATCAGAAATCCGAATGATTTCTAGGTACATGTCAAAGCTAGTGGGAGCATAAAGTGTTATGCTAGTTAGATAATAATCATTATGCTAGTGGGAGCATGATGATTATGTTGCAAGTTAGAAATGTTAATTATAGAAAACAAAAGTTTCAACTCGCTTTGAAAAAGTTGTTTTACTATAATTAAGGGAGAGAAATTTATACTTCATTTCAATTCTACAAGCTTAGATTGAGATTTTAATCAACTTTAGTCAAGAATATATATATATATATATATATATATATATATATATATATATATATATATATATATATATATGAATGTTATGTTGGAATGGTTCAACATAAGGAATTTCTATATATGTTGCTTTCTCAAAATTCGATTATGATTATGGCATCCCTCTTCATAGTTCGAACTATGAGAACATGGCAAATAAAAATATTATAGCATGAATCGTATCCCATATGCTTCGGATATAGGATCGGTTGCATGTGTTATAATATTCATCCATTCTGAATTTTCCTAATGCTTAGGGTGTTAAGAAGGGAAAATGGATTAGAACTGGATATGACTGAGATGATTAAGCAATTGTCGAGAACAATTTGGAGTTTTCCAAAGTTTGGTTACTCATGGACAATTGGAAGTATAAAGTAAGGCTCATATTGACATTTTTGGAAAGAGGCAACTCTTGTTCAAAAGTGATGGTCAAGATGGGAATATGGAATTGTTTCCATAGGTGGAGGTTATTCTTTGAATCTGTGTAAGATTAAGAACTTAATGCAAAGAAGGATGTTCAAAGGAATGTACTTTGAATTTGAGACTTCATCTCCAAAGAATTGCTTTCCATTCGAATACTTTTTAATGTTTGTTGCCAAGTCTTTGTGACTTGTGTGAATATCATTATAAGAGGATCATTGCATAGATTATGGTAAATGACAAGAACTTAGTATTCTTACATTTACAATAAGGATTGGGATTGTGAAATGAGAATCATTGAAGTCATTTTCAATTGATATACATTTCACAAAGAGATGACCATATGTAAACATAGTGTGCATACTTGGAGTATGGCATAGCTATTGTTTAGAGAAACATAGTATGCATGCTTGGAGCATGGCATCACTACTGTTTCAATTCAAGTATTAAGTTGATTAATCGAAACATGAATAATGAGTGATCAATATCGTGCTTAGATAAAAGGTATTTTATTTATGCTCAAAGTGTTGAGGCCATATAGGACTAGTATTATTTTGTGTTTCACTTTGCATGTTTTAACTTCCAGAATAACTAGGTCATTCTCCTGGATGACCAAGTTATTCAAACCATCCACAGTCGGTCATATGTTGGAAGTAGATATGAATCAAGACTGTCGTGAATTTGGCTTGTATGATTTGTCTAAAGTGCTTTAGACAATGCAATAGTTGCTACAACATTCATGAGTACTCATAAGGGCTGCGTATTGGATTCAACCCACGCTCATTTGGATTCACTTCATGGATTTTATCACGAGTGAATCATGAGACGATAATATCTTATATTATTCAAACCTAGAGATATGAGTTGTTGACTATGAGTTGGTTATACATTGATTACACGTAAACGCATTGGTAACTCGATGTTATAAAACGTGCCTTTGTGTATGATTCAACAAAGAGTTAGTACAAGCATATGAGTCGATGTTTATCCATTCCTTTTACCTTCAGGATAAAAGCGATATATGTGGGCCCTCGATGATTTAGTGATGACAAAAGTAAGTGCTCGGCCGGGCCTGGACTGATTTGATTTGTTCAATTAGTCAGTCGTAATAAATCAGAAATCAGGAAACAACAAATGGACAGAGAGACTGATTATAATCCATGTCTCAATCCATATGATATATAGAATGGAGGAATATATGATCACTTATCTAATGGACAAGTTATTGACAAAGGTCAGAGTTCATCTACAAGGTCAGAGTACGACATAAGCTTTTGAGAGCTACGATTGCTAGTCGGGTTCTGAAGTCATACTTGCAATAATAGTTTTAGACTTATCCAAGTGTGAGACTGTTGGATTAATGTCTATGTCCATAACTATAATTGGTAAGACTTGACCCGACCCAGCATGGTCCATTTGGGTTGCATGGCATCATGCACTTGCATAGACTAAAATGAGAGAAATAACACTTAAGGTTTATTAATATATTATAAGTTCTAATATATTAATAAGGTTATTTAATTAGTATTGATCAAGAATTAATTTGGAATTAATTAAGTGATCAAAAGAAGACTAATTAAATATATGGGTTGATTGTGTAAATCATTCATTCTTATATATGTGGGCTTGTGATCCAAGATTCCTTATGTTGGACTAAGTCCATGGGGTGACCCATGGATGCTCCATGGAGGTTAAAACCCATGGATCATAAGGAATGGGTAAAGTCATGAGTTACATGGTGTAACCCTAATAGCCACCATATAACAGAATCCCATGGCTCAAGAAATCATGCACTATGTGTGAAGGTGAGGGCCAAACGATTTCATGAAGTGTTCAAGTTTCTCTCAAGTTATTCCAAGTGTATTTGGTGTTGTGTGAACCCTTTGAGGTGTCACACTTGGGGCACTAGGCACTCAAGCTTCATGAAGACAAGCACCAACAAAAGGTATGTTATTCTAATTTGTGTTATTCAAAGTTTGTATGCTAGAATAGAACAATACCTTGGAAAGTTGATATTTGCATGTATAATAGAGAAAACATAGATCCAAGATATTTAGGGTTGCATGTACACTTAGGAGTGTTAGATTGCTCAAAACCCAACACAATCCTCCATACTGACACCTGAACAAATGGATGCTCTCATATTAGAACTTTAGCGAACTAGAAGAAAGCCTCCCCAAACATTTCTTGTCACTACTGAACCTCCATCTAAAAGTGATCCGGAAGGCTCAACCTACGCTTTACTCCTAAAGAAGCAAAAGAGAAGAGATCCAAGGTCGGGAGTGTTTATCACGGACCGAGTTCAAATGAAATCTACACTGATTGAGCCTGGTTCTATGGCTCAAAACATACAAAGCACTTTAGCTAAGACCTATCCAGTGATTCAAGAAATATCTAGCTCATTCCCTAAGTTCACTTCTATGGATCAGCATGCTTAAAGCCAAATAGTTGAAGAATAAGTCATGCCTTTAGAAGGAGCTCAGACTTCAAGAAGCTTATTTGAAACACCCGAGCTCGACATCTGCAAAGGCAAAAGCAAGTTTCTTGAATATGAATTTGTTAATGACATTCAACTCTAGAATAGAGTCTTTGATCTTGAACAAAACTCTGCTGAAAAGGATTTGATAATTGGAAAGCAGGATATTCGAATAAGCAATCTTGAGAAAGAGAACTCCGATAAAGATTCAAAGATCTCAGAGCTTCAAGTGAATCTTGGTGGTTTAACTGATGTATTCTTTGATCTGAAACAACTCCTATTTCAGAAGTCTGGTGATGAATTTCAACCCTTGAGTGTTGAAGGAGAAAAGATCACTTCTTCTAGTTCAGGTCCCTCCGATCCAACTTCGCAATCTTCAAATGAAATAACTGCAAGAACTACTCTAGATGCTAACCTTGATTCATTCTTATCTTCTGCTTCTCTTTCTTCTCAAGAAAGAAGAGAGAGAAGCAAATTAAGGTTGAGTAGCTGAAAGGGAAAATTCTCTTGATGAAGAACTCAGATCAAAATGCTCTGGGTGATCACCCTGAAATGTTCTTCAGGGAAACTGGGATGATGTTCACAGAAAAATATGGTGATCGTTCTGGCATCTTCATGTGGGGGATACGATGCTGAAAAAAGATGTGGAACGTGAAGATAAAAAGTGGAAGAATTGAACGTTATGAGAAGAAAGTCGACTTCATTTCCGGAAAAAAAGTTGATCTTTTAGAACTCATCCACGCACCTTTCCACAATCCAACTAATGATACCATGGCATGGTCCTTTAATAATTTTCTTGAGGTTAAAGCGAAAAATAAATTTGAAAACTTATAGATTGCTTCATTGTTTACTAAGAAGGCCAAGGGTTTCATTGATCCTCGCACAAACAAAACAATGATGAATGTCATGTGGCCACCCACAAAGTAAAGCAAAAGGATTTCTCTTCCCAAACGCTTACCTGAAGGCAATTTGGATACAATAAAATTCTGGGTTTATGATGAGGCTACTACAATGGTGGTGATCAAGCTGAACAAAAACCAGTTTCGTATTGTTGATCCCAAAGATTTGTTAAAATTTGGAGAACATATCCACACTTTATCAATCTTTCAGATTATCGTAGAGAATTAACTATTTAAGGCTGCCGCGAAATCTTTCACTGGAATGTTAGCTACAATTATCAACAAGAAGCTGTGGACAGGGGCATTTGACCGAACAGGTGTTGATCTTGTAGATAATCCTGAAGAGAACATAAAGCAATAAACCAAGGGGGAGATTGTTAGGCTATATATAGTGGTTTATGCTTTGTTTTGAATGTATTATTTTGTTCTCGGTTTGGATCGAAATCAACTACTAATTTCGGTGGGCTTAGTGTGTTCTCAGTGGGCTTTTATGTATGGGCTTTAGGTTATCAGTTTAGTATATATACGGTTTTTGTATAGTCATTCAAGGCTAAAGAGGCATGTGATTCTTACTTTGTATTTATATTTTCTAGGGTAGGTGTAATTATTATGAATCCATAGATCCATAGGTTGCATGTACACTTAAGTATATCATAGGTTGATTTTTTCGCAACTAAGTTTCAAGTGTATTTGATGCTTAGAAACCCTAACAATGGTATCAGAGCCATTGGTTCATAATTGCATACAACCTTAATCCATATTTTCTATAAACGCTATGTAATGCTCGTTTTCCAGGATAGATCAGTTAAGGACTTGGAGACATCAAATGTAAGATTTTTGGGAAAAATCAAGTGCCACAACATGGTTAATAGAGCACCATGATGTGGTAAAGCTTGAGGGAGAAGGATGTTCCCAATGGCGTAAGAAAGCAAGGAGTTAGTTTAGATCCATCATTCTCTTCTGATTTCTGAGCTATTTGAGGTATAAAGTTCATACATTGGCATGTTTTCTTCTAGATTCAAGTTTCGGATCATTTTCGGAGGGTTTTGTCCCTTCCATGGATGCTCTTGGAGTTTGAGGAACTCTAGAGCTATTTATGGCCCTTTTTGGTCTCCAAGCTTCTAGTACATGCATTTTATGTATATTGTGGTGTGTGGTATTTTGGGGGAACTCACCAAGCTTTGACTTGCAGTTGCAGATTAAATGTTTTTCAGGTACCATTAGTTATCATGGGAAGACGAAGGCGTGATTGTATATAGTAATCAACAACATTGGAGATCTTTTATTATTTATATTACTTTGATTATAAAACAACTGTATTTTGCAATAAATGGATTTATGTGAATGATGATTTTACCTTATTTAAAAATGAAAATTTGCTTGTGGGAATGGGACGTTACACTCTTTTTTGAAATGGTAAAAGGAAGAAAAAACAAAATCGAAAGAATCATGTACTCATAGTGTCACACCCCGCTAAAGCGGAAACACGGGGTGTGGCAGTATTAGGGTTTCATAGCAAAAGATAAAGATAACACCAACCATAGTACTAAAAGCATTACAATTTATAATGAGTTTGAACAACATTTTAAAATAAATTACAATGTATTTGAAGTATAACACATGCAAATGCTCCTACAAGTGATGTGTCTCTAGGTGCCTCTTACTAGATGATACCTAAAAAAGCATGTAAAATGAGTTGTCAACTACCAAAATAGTTGGTGAGTTAACAAGTTAAAAATAATATTGGTTTCATAAATCGAAATCAAAGTTATGATATAAGTTTCCATAGATAAAAAAAATATATTGCTAAAGTGAGTAAATAAGTTTGTATAAACAAAGTTCGCTATCATCATGAGAAATAAAGTATGTTGCCCAAAAGAGATGCAACGTTCATATCCTCATGGGAAATAAAATTTGTTACTAAAATGAGTAAACAAGTTTGTTACTATAAGGAACAACCAAATTCATTGCTAAAATAAGTAAATAACTATCTAGTAACAAAAGTTCGTTGTTATAATGAGATACAAAGTCTATTGCTATAATAAGTAACGAGTTTGTATGTGTGAGCAAACAATGAGTTCTCAACCAAGCTTATGATTGATGCCCTATCAAGATCTATGTTTATTGTTCCATAGATTATATGGTATCATGCACTCCAATAATTAAGCGAGTGAGGAGTTGTCAATTCCTAATAGTGCTATCCGTAATGACCATTGGCTCAAAGAGTTAATGGTTGTAGTAAACTATAAGGGATGGGACTTAAGATGATAAGTTCTCATGTTTCATGTTGCATAGACATACATAGCAAAATATAGCAAATAATAGAAAATTATAGCAATCAAGTTTGATATAATTCAATTTAAATACAATGAATAATAAATAGCTTTTCGGACAAGCTTTTCCACCCCAAAACATAAAAACAGAAAATATAGGGAGTCGTGAATACTCACTATGCATTGAGATGATGCAAATGGTGCCTTCAACTATGATCCACTTGTACCACTACCGGTTCCTACAATAATGGTATTCACTAGTGAATCTCTAATCGAAATCTAACACTAGTATACTTACTACTACAATAGAATTATGTCAATATTGTGTCAAAATTTAACATTGATAAGTTACAAACATTTTTCTGTGAAAATTAAATTTTAATGAATCAATGGTTATATAACAATTTATGTGGAAAATTCTCATTATTGAAATGTTAATATTAAACATTTTTTGAGTTGTTCTAATGATTAAATATTGAAAGACTAAATCAATTTACTTGTAAAATTTCTCAAACTGTGTATTTTAGTTTCAACTGAAGTTAAGGATGTTAAGATAATTTTTCTTGCATTTTTGATATGTCTAGCTATTTTTCACCATTTTAATTTCTTGAATAACCATAAAATCACGAAAAATACTGAACAGTTAATAAAAATTACCAAACTTTAGATTTTGCTTTTAACTACATAAAAAGACTTCCAAATAATTTTTCATGGATTATAGATGTGTATAACCATTTTTCTTATATATAATTCTCTAAATAGATAAAAATTCATGAAAAATAGCAATCGGTTAAAAAAATTCCGTAAACTTTTTATAACATTGTCATTACACATACTTAAGCTGGAAAAAAAATATAAAATGAGTTATAAACTGTTTAACCCAATTTTATGATTTTTATGCATTTAAGTTTATTAAATCTTGGAAAATAGAAGAAAAATAGCATACAGAAGAGAAAAATCATTAAAATTTTAATGTATGATCCTAATATATTATAAGAGTTTTTGGTAAATTTTCATTAATTTTAGATGAGGAAAACTATTTTTCCTGTATTTAGTCCATTATAAACACAAAAATCATGGAAAAAAATATGTACATTTTGAAAAATTTCCAAAATATTTTTCTGAGTCTTAAGCATAAGTTAGAAACTGTGAAAAATAAGAAAAGATACTTTCACATTTTCTAAAGTGGTTTTATAATTTATTGGAACTAAATAATAAGAAAATTCAAAATCATACTAAACAGTAACAAAAATCGATGAAACTTCATCAGAGATGTTGTCATCTTAAAGAGTCATCAACGAATTTTTCTAGAATTTATTTACTAGAGTTAGTATTTTATATGCTTTAACACTCTATTTTCTTATTATTTTCATGTAAAAATAAAGATAATGTATATTGAGCTGAAAATTTCCAGAATGCATCTTTATACAATTTAATAGCAATGAATAATCGTTTTCTTATTTTTGATGTCGAAAAACATGCCTAAAGGCTCAATAAATTATAGAGAAAACTTGGTTCGTGTGATTTTGGTAAAGATTATTGATGTTATTTTGAGAATTTTTGCAACATGTTGCAAAGACTTTTGAATCAAGATCTTTTTGTTCCTCTTAATACATGATGTTAAGTTCTCAAATTAAATTTTCCTTGATTTTTAATGATGAATAAAATCTTTGAACATGCAATACAAAACTCATATTCACATAAAGGTGTTGTTTGAGCAACAGTTTTGTAAAAATTCCTAAAAATTGAAATATTTAAATTTTCCAATGAGGTCAGATGGGTATGAAAGCTATCTCAAAATATTATATTTTAGAAAAATAATCTAGAGTTTTAGTTAAGAAATGAGTAAGATATAGCAGTTTAAAGTCAGGTAAAGAAATCTGGCAGATTACATGCATGATGATTGGTTAGAAAAGTGAGTTTTCATCATTTTTTGAGTAAATCTTTTGAAATATTTTATGAATTCATGATAAACTCATATTCTAGTCTTGTTTCCAGAGATCAAAAGATTAAAATTCATATTCTAATCCTTAAAATCGATTTTTACACTGAGATCATGAACATGCAACCTTGTTTATTATATATGCATGGCGTTAAAACACACCCATGATGTTCTAGAAACCATTTTAACAAAAATAAAACAAGTTTGAAGAAGATTAAGAAGTAAAAGAAGGAGAAAGTGTAAGAATACTTGAGATTTTGAAGGAATAATGAAGTAGAAATCGAGTTTACCTTCAAGAACACCACAAGATGATGAAGATTTAGAGTTTCAGGTGTATTATTGGATTTATTTTCTGGAATAAAATTCATGGTTGAAGGAGAGAGAAAGAGATAATAGAGAGTAAATGAAGTGGATGTGTTGGAAAAATGAGAGAGAATGAGGGATATGGAGTGTAAGGTTTGTGTAAATATTTTAGGAAGGCAAATATTGAAGGATGAGAGAGGGTGGCCAACTTTTGAGGAT